CAGCTAAGCTACTTACTTGAGAAGCTCCTTCAGCTGTTCCTTGTTCTCGGCGGTGAGTTGGAACGAGCCGTTGAGCTTAGACAACAGTCCCTTGGGCGCTGATGCCGATGCGGTGGTGGTAGAGATTTCAGACGAGTTGTGCGGCTGCAGAACGGATGGCGATGACAGACAGAGAACACCATCGGCCCCAGGTCCGGCTGTACAGGTGACGCCGCTGTTGGAGACGTCGGAGGACGCCGAACCGCTGGCGTACTCTAGCGACGAGTAGTGAGTAGTCGAGTTGCCGGCCGACGCTGAGGTTAACGACAGACAGATCGTGCCGCTGCTGCTGGTCGACACGTCGCTCAAGCCGTGGCCGTTTGCGTCCTGGTCGGCTCGGTCATCGATGCAGAGACCGTTGCAATCAGCTCGCGAGTCCAGATCCATATAGTTCTGGTCCAGGCAGCAGTCACGCATGTTCTCGTCCGTCGACCCACGTTGGTCAGATCGATCAGACGGCGTCGCCTGGCGACCTGCAGAATCTGTGAATGACACGACCAAGTTCTTCATGCTCGTTCTGAATGAGTTCGAAGTGCACGGTGTCCACGTAGTCAGTTCATGCTCCAAACGGTCGAAAGTGTGGAATGCCTGAAACGTCGAACGAACGCTTTAGTTTAAACGGGAAATCTTTCGGGAGCAACGACAAAAAGCTCAGAAACCAGTCACAATATTAATGTCGTTTTGCAGCATCTTTCTGAGCAGTCATTAACTGATCAATTCGGAAACAACAGAAATGATCACGGCTACTGTCGAGAGGCGAAACTGAATCAGCTTGCAAAATGCGGTAGTCAAAACTTTTCATCTGCATAACAATGTCAAAGGTACACCAAACAAATGGTCAATAAAGAGGTGATCGTTTTAAAGATTCATATTTTCGCGAACTCACAACGAAAAATGAAATGATATTGCCTTCTAACGCGTGCTTTGTATCACAAAAAGTATCACTTAATCATTTACGTTTTAACAGAACTTCTTCAAACATTTCACCAGGCTCAGACGTTACATGATGGATGACTCATGAGTCAGGAAAAGGAGCATTTGCCAAATGAAGGTAACCTAGACGGTCGTTGCTGCCGTGGTCAAATTTGTGGAAAAGCAGCTGAACAACAACCCTTGAGCTCTGTCCAATAAACTGATATAGAGAGCATGGAGTTATTCCGAATGCGATTCGGCATCCATGTGAACATCGCATTTCTAAGTTATTCAATTGCTGCTGGTGTCTTTTCAAGGTAAAACAACATTCAGCTCCAAACTGAGCCACTGAATCTGCTATTTATTACTGTTCTATAGACGTATTAACTCGATGTCGACTTTCCCACTGCGTTGCATGATGAATCCAGTATGCTGAAAAGCTGCATCATAAGAAGAACCAATTGGAAATGAAGAGAAGGATAGAAAGTAAGAGACACGTAAGGAGAAGAAGGAACTGAAAGATGGCATGAGAATTAAAAAATGGAAAAATGAACAAAGACGGAAGAATGAGAAGTAGAAGAAAAGTTAAGAAAAAGAGTAAGAGAAGGGGGTAAAAGAGAAAGCAAAAAATGAATAAGAAAAAGAATGAGGAAAAAGAGAAGGGAAACTGTAAACAGAAAAATGCGAAAAAATAAAAATAAAAACAACAACAGACGAACTTAATAACGATGAACAATGTGGCTGACGCCGATTGCTTAATGAACTATGCAACAACGCAATGCTGGCTTCGATAAATAATGAGGGTTAAATGAAAGGACCATGCAACGAATACATGTTATTCCTCACACAGTGACATAAGCAGATTTGGAGGCTAGCCCTATTACACAAACTGGCTGAATATAAGTGATTTACTCCAGCGTCGAAACAGGGCAGATGTCGATCAAGAGGCCATAATGCAACACGGAGGAACATGTTCGAGGCAAATCTGCCTTCGCAGAGGAAGTGCAACTTCTACGACGTCTTGTAGCAAGTGTCGTAAAGTTGCAGCTCTGCAAATGGCTTGAAGCGAGGGCGGCAGTATGATCTTTCGAGGACATATTGCTTTGTATGTCTATCTTGTTCAGAACGATGACGAAGACTTATATGAAATCTTTACGTCTTGATCAAGTGACGGCACCTCAATTTCGACACTGTCTCCTATCCAATCGATGAAGAAATCATTTTTTCTGCTTACTTTTACGCTTTCCCAACCTATGCAGCAGAACCACCATATTCCGCGAAGAATCTGTTGTTGCATTGGCTACAGCGGAAGTACTAGAGTTCTTTTATTACCTCTACCAAAGACTGAACATATGGACAGATCTGAGGAGCGTGGAGTTCCATGACGGTGCTCTACCAATACTAATAATAATAATTGTTGACATTCATGGCTTCATTAAATGCAGCTGTGATGAACAGTTCAAAATATGTAAATATGCAAACATGTTACTGCAGGGATTGTACTACAGCAAACATCGATATCACAACTGAATGATTTTCCGTCTCTTGTAATAATCAAACCTCGTGAAAATGGTTCAGTGAAACTTAGATGTATAACTGGAGGCCAAACGAATGACCGAACATTACCAGGATACTAATGTATTTAGCGGAAAAAACTGCAGGTTGAAAAATCGATCATATATTATATATCAGCCTTAAGTCGTGGCCGGATCACTCGCACCTTTGAAAGAGTCTTTGCGAAATTCCAGTTCAAACTGTATGCAAAAGAGCTTTCGCTAAGCTGGTCTGATTAATTATGAGTAATTGCGAATTTGATGTCGAGGTGAGATGAAACACGGCGCGGTCAAGCTGCAATAACTGTAAATTAAGTGGTCACAACAACCAGTTTCGGTCCACATTGTTACATAAGCACTGCCACTCTTTACAGTAACAGATATACCATAGAGAGAGCGAATAAATTTCGACTTGAAAAATTATATAAGTCAAATTATCTCTACGTCAACAGCATGCAGATTAAGAAATATGGTCCACTTTGTAAGATCTGTCAAAATTATTAAGCACATGCAAATCATATTGCCTATCACTAAGCAACTCGCCCTTAGAGGTGTTGAACTAACAGCTACTGGGAACATCGATGACCAACGTTATTAAACTAGACGGAAGGATTGGAGAGAAATGGAGTTTGTACAGAGAATGAAAGTTCATGGGAGGGAGCATTGATTTGTATCATCCATCAAACATCGTCACTGTCATCTTCAAGCCATCTTGCCCAAGAGTCTTCAGCCGTTGTTAACAGGGTAAACGGAATGAAAAGCTTCGATTGTGTATGTTCGAGCGGATGGACTGGATTACTATAGACTATTGTCAAAGCTGATGATCGAAGTGTGCTTCTGAATCGGATTTCATAGCCTATCTGGAATGCGAAATCTGAACCGAGTGACTACATCGATGTTTACAGAGCCTGTCGCTGATGGTAGCCGACGAGAACATACCGTGCAAAAACAACAGTTAAACCGGCCGGCAGATGAAAGTGTCGGATAACCGATGAGGACGCTCGACTGCCTTTCGTCCAGCTGCTGTGCTGATAATAGCGAAATTCAAAATTTAAACAATTTGGAATCTTATAGAGCTTTCAACGTACAGAGAAAATAATCATGACATTTCTAAATCCTCAGAACTGATGCTAATGTACCTGCCATACTCATTATTTTCAATTTTGAGCGCAACGACCCGAACAAGCAATAAACATCATTTCCTGCGCCGACGAATAGTTATCTTAGTTTACAACCTAACAATGAAGTGACGATATGTTAGCCACAGTCCGTCCTCGACCTCGCTTTGTTCAAATGGATAATATGCTAGATTTTATGCCAACAGTATATGAAATTAAATTACCCATATTTCACTTTCTCCGTCAGTTACAGTTTTCTACACGATTCGCTTGTCTATTTGATTATTACTAGATTTTCATGTCTGATCATAATTACGTAGAATATTACAGTAGGGATGACGGTGAGTGATAACTGCGGCACTGAACAGATCAGAGCAGGCGATATAGCGTAAGTGACAGACCGGCATCGAACAGAAAAACCAAAACAAAAGATGCCTCACATGTAACCAGATGAAACGTAGCCTTTTCACACCTCCAAGCTGTCTAAGCTAAGGAACGGAAGTGAAATTGGAAAAAACGTCGATGGAGTTATATGCGGTACAGCGGCTCTGGCAGAAAACCAGCAAACCATATATCGTGAGACGATGCGAGAGTGGAGAGGATGCGCGCTGTCACTGAGGACTCAAGAACTAGTGTGATTCTACACATGCATCCAAACGTTACTTGATCAACAACTCGGCTGATCAGCTTTGTCACGTGCGTACCACTGATTCTGGACACAACGTCACCGAACGTCACAGAAACGGCTTGATATTCGTTTAATCCAAGGAATCTACGCTACAAAACCGTGTCCAACGCTGGAGCGGTGTCATTCAAGCAGAGACCTTGTTGTCGCAAGGTTTCTGCCCAATGCATTATTGTTTGTCTCAAGACGTAGTGGTTTCCTCTAAATGATTCTAGGCGATTAGAGGCAACGGGGCGAGACCGAGTAAATGCGGTATCAAAAATTAAAATTTTATGATTATAGGCTTTAAAGCTATTACAGAGCAGCTGTACCTGAAAATATGAATTATTGTTCTCTGGGCATTTACCGATGGATACCAGTAAAATTAGAGGGTGGCCGAACGTTCCCTGTTCAGTCCAACTCACAGATGCTGTTTTGCACTTGAAAGAAATGTATGCAGTAACCATATGAACTGTGAAATGAAACTTAAAGGAGATCCATTTGAACGGTTTCTAATAACATGGAGTTTGCCAGGGACATGTGATTTCGCGTCTGCTATTCAACAGTGTTCTCGGCTTTCTTCTACGAAACGGTGCTGAGCGTCAAGGGAAGGTGCAGGTGATTTTGTTCTGATCGTTCTGATGTACAGCTGCAACTGGGAGGGGAAACTACAGAAGAATTCGCCCAGTTTATGTCGGCGGTTGAATTACCTTCAGTTGGAGTAAAATAAAACGAACGACCACCATAGCCTCGAGTGCTTTTGGAATCCTGCTGAATATTTCGGCTAAGAAACAAGTTGAGTTACTCTTAACACGAAAATCCATAACTTTGTAAGGTATGCAAACAGTTGTCCTAAACAAGGAGCAGCAACGACTGCTGAACTGTGTACAGTAGCGCTGGCATCGTTGCATGATGAGGTAAAATCAGGACCACAAGTGAATGGCTCTATTCTCTTGCGGACCCCGGATGCGATGAAAATTCTTAAAAATGAGGCTGCATCCGCTGGACAAACCGGCTGAGCATAAGTCATTTAATCTAATGCATAATCTTGTCATTTGGGAACCGAAACACGGCAGACGTCGATCACCAGGCCAGCATGCAACATCGAGGAACAAGTTAGAAGCAGATCTTCTTCCTGAGAAAAATATTTCCCTCCACGACGCAGTAGCCATTGCCATATGGCAAAAGCGTTGGTGTTGTAAGGCTGGGACACATACATGGGACATCATATGTTTCTGTTTATGCAAATGAACAACACACCGATGAATCGGTCAAATGAGAAAAAGATCCCACCCAACGATTAGGTTGGAAACGTGGTTCAAGCACTGATAATGCGAGGCAACAGAGGTAAGCGAAGACCACAGTAAAAGTAGGAGACGCGATGTTTTTACGAACGATATGAAACGACCGAAGAGCGAAAAATGAGGAAACAACTGACTCACGAATACCTAATTCCTGTTACGAAAAAAACAAGAAGGAAAAAAACTGCGTCATGAGACGGAAAGAACTCTCATTAGGCGGAACACACTTCTGCAAAAAAAGCACCAATCGCGTGTTTCAGCTATTCAACACTTTCGTATGGAGGAAATTCGAAACCTAGGCTTGAAAATCAAGCCAACCGGACCTTTTGTATTGTGACTGAACAGAAAATTCCGGTTTCTCCACCCGTTGAGTTAAACAAAGCAGAAAGTTGTTCACAAAAGTCGATTTTCTTGCCCTTTCAGAAAGACCACAAAAATCGAGGCCGCAGATTTGACTCACTTGCTTTTGCACTCGTAAAAAACAATGCTGAACGACGTTTCCCACAGTTGTTTGAACGTCGATTCCTAACGATGGTTAAAAAGTTACAATTTGTACAGTCATGAGGGATGATTCATCATCGCCATCGCCGATAGACACGCGGTTAGTTATTACAACACGACACGTCTTAATATGCAATTACTATACAACGTCGGCAGCGGACGAGGGCCGAATTGCCTGCTGCGCATGTCATGATTAACTTTAAAGGCCGTCGGTACGATCAGATGAGTCACTTCGGTTTTAGACAGACGCCGACGTAGCCTCAGGTCCTAACCTCATTAATATTAGTGATTAGTTAGCAAGAACTACTCGTTCGACCGAATGTGACTCACAGGAACCGGACGATACCTGACGAAAACCGAATCTAGCATTGCTGCATTCGTTAACAGGGTTTTCGCTTTAACAGAAGTGCCCGGTCAAGCCGAGGTAATGATACATCAAAATGCAGGAAATGAGAATGCTTAAAGGAAGCGTGGGAGGGGTGAGGGGGAGTCAAACGGGCTCTCGGTAAAATAGCCATATAGCGAACATCTCTAGAAGAATTTTTAGTTTTGTCAGATATCAAAAGGAACAGTAAAAATGGAATTGGACAATTTTGGAACATTGAAAATATTCTTATCCGGGAACCGGCTTTTATGCCTCAAACAGAGAAGTTTTCGATCGATATGAGTCCCCGGTAAGATACTAAGCGTGAAAGTTATTTATAAACAGCAGACTACGTAACGTAGCATGATGACGTATTGTTTGGAATGAAGGAGAAAGATAGTAAGACGGACGAATGGGTAAAAACAGAAACAGGAGTCCGCGACTTCACTGCACGAGTGAAGACACTGAAGTGGCAATTGGTAGCAGACGTCGCAAGAAGAACCGACCATCGCTGCATCATAGACCATAGACATTAGTCTGGGTTCCAACAGGGTGAACGGTAAACTGCCAGCAGGAAAACCTACAGTTCGACGGCCGGAAAAGCTAAAGAAATCTGCTAGATCCAAGTGGATAAAAGTCATAGGAAACAGAAGCCTGTGGCAAAGTTTTCGAGAAATTTTCATCCAGCAGTGGATCGAAAAACATCGATGGTAACTAAAGAAACTGTGTGTAAAGTAACTTTACACACATCATAAAGTAGGTACAAGACAAACGGCGCGACCGATCACAGATACAGTACCGCAACGGGAGGTGTGACTATCGACCAATGTGCTAAAAGCATCGATGTTGAGTACATGAAGTCAGCGTTTCGTTCATCCGCCA